ATTACATTTGAGTTTATATGGATTATACACCTGAAGATGGTTCATTTAGAACCGAAACATGTAGTGTAAAAGATGATGCTCTAATGTAAAATCGAATATTTCGATAGAGAGCATCATTTTAATATATTTTAAATATTTAAATGTTAATTGTAATAATATTTAAATATTTTAATAATAATATTTTATTGTGATTAGACTGATAAAAATTGAACAAGTGCTGTAGTTGAGTAAACACGTGGACAAAGGCGGTTAAGAAGGAGTCGTTCAAAACGAAATGAATTATTAGCCAACAACTTGTGTTCCGTCGAGCACTTGCCTGGAAGTGCTTTTTCCAGAATAGCAGACATTCGGGGCAAAGTTCTGTCATACATCGATTGTTCCTTCCTGTAGATTGTCGTTTCGGCTATGGCTCCGGCGAACTCCCCGTCCTGCAAACGACGCTTGATAATCAGCGAGTGGGAATCCCCGCCTTCTGTTCTCACTACTATGCGGTTCATGACGCTCAGATAGTTGTCTCCTTTACCATCAGCGATCTGAACATCACACCCCGTCACTGTTGTCTGACCGTAGTGCGGCTGTAACCATAGTTCTAACATCTTCTTGTCCGACCATGGTGGAGGCGCTGAAGACATCTTCATAACTGGATATTCGCTATAATTCAAAATGTTAAAACAAAGTCTATATACACACTTCGCCATTGTAACTCCATCATAAGGGCGATCACCCTAATGATGGAGGCAGCAATGACCTGCGAAACGTCGGTAAACTTCTACCAGACTACACGGCGTTACAACCCAGAAAATAGCCATCTTCAGACTCTACGCCGTGAAAACCTTAAATCCTGCAAACTGACTCTGCCTTCAGAGCTGAAGCCCTTAACCCAAAAGAACAACCGCCGAGGAAACCTCAAATCTCAAAACCGGAGGATTAATTACCGTGTTCACAGGAAACAGATTAATCCATTCCACAAAATCATATCTTATTTATTGAATATCCACTCTATTATCATCCTCTCGTTAACACCCAGATCTCCTAAGCGGTCTCTTCTCTCTAATGCATCACACTAAAATTTTGTTCGCATAGTTCACATGCGTTCTACATGCCCCGCCAATCTCATCTCCCCTAAATCGAGAAACCTAATAAGGTACAAATTATAGAATCCCTCATTACGAAACTGGCCTATCTTTTCCCACGCCATTTCCCTCAGAATAATAATGTATTCTTGAAAAAGATTTGGAGTTTTACTTTTCGTCAAACGCTCCCTGTCGTTCGAGCACAGGCAACATCCATTTGACGACCTTCTTGTAGTCATCAGTGAACATGGTTGGTCCGGGTGTGACGCCTCTCTCGAGGGCGTCATCCAGCTCGAAGCCGCAGTCGGGGCGAGACAGCATGCAGGGTGCAGCACAGATCGTGGACCACACTCCATACATTACCTTCCTATCGAACTCTTCATGCAATTCCTCCAGGGTTATCAGTGGCTGCGTGTAGCCCAGGGCGATCAGTGTGTTACACAGAGTACTGTGGTACTCCTGCAACACAGTTATTGACCCTTTGAAGCCCAATGCTAACCGAAGTACAATAACACTTCATTCTATATTTGTGAGTTTCGTATAATTCTCGCAGTCAGCCGGGATTTTTTGACGTAAATACGTCTATATTTTAGGACCAGTGTCATTCGGCAAAAATGTTACGAAAAAGTGTTACGAAAAAGGGAAACAAAAAAGTGTAACTTCATTGTTATGTTACTTAGGAAACGTCATCTGTTTACTCGGCATTGTTGTTACCTAGGAAACCTCATCTGTTTACTCGGCATTGTTGTTACCTATAAAACATTACATTACATTACATTAAATTCAGCTACCACAGACCCATCTTAAGCGTAACTAATTGAAGTTGAATAAGCAATGTCTTAATCAAACTTTACTCAATTGTAAAGGATGTATAAAGGAAATATTTAGAATAAAGCCAATATATAAACTTCCTTTCCGTATAGACGTATTTACGTCAAATTCTCCGGAACCTTGGTTCCACTGACAACTTTTTCCTTAAACAGCGCTGACCAGTTCATCTTCCTAATGGTGAAGTGTTATGAATTCTTTGTTGTACGGACTGAATTATTAAATACAAATTAGATAAGCGCATTACCTGTAATTCGGGATATATCGATATAAAAACACGTCGACCTATTTCAGGCCAGTACAGGTAACGGTTCTTACCTGCAGCAGAGTATCGACGTGGTGCATCCGTACGTCGTGCGTGAGGCTACTGCAGATGAAGAGGTGAAGGTCGATAGCAGGGGATGCGAAGATGGTCAACTGAAAATCCAGGAACCGGATGCTGTTTGAGTGCCTCTTGAACATTATGTTGTTCAGCCAGAAGTCACCGTGTACCAGTACGTTCAGCCCGTTCTCATTACGTCTCGTCGTCTCACCAACCAGATCTATCAAGCTGTCTTGCATCCCATGCAACTTCGTCGCGTACTTGTGCCACTCTTCCGGCCAGGTCTTCAGTTCCTCCACAAGAGTTTTCGTCATTCCTATGCCAACATTTGCTTTTATATTTAACGATCACATAGTGAGAGAAGACTACAGATACTGAGTTGATAAAAATGTTAGAGAAAGCGACCATGACCAATTTTCTAGGACAAACCTCGACGTTTTCTTGGAGGGACTGAAATAAACTAAGATAGCCAGTCATTGGACTAGGATTCCAAAAGAGAGACTTCCTAAATACGAAGCAAAACAGTTGAAAAGCCACTTCTACACAAGACTCGGTCAAGATCGTGTGACAACTGCTCTTACATCTCTGAATAGGAAAGAAAGACGATAGTTGAAACAGCATGAATCTCGTGGCATTGCCACAGATTCATCAGCTAAAGACACTTTGAGCGTAGGCCCAATACCCAACATATTCTACATGCCAGCCCCGTCTCCACTTCAAAGTGGGCTACATTTATGATGAATATTTAAGTAAATGTCTGCGGCATGATATTTCAGTCTAGTCATGAGCCCCCCAGCATGGGCTCGATGCCAGGAAAAGTAGGTTAGTTCCACATAACCTGGAATATAAATCGCTCGCTCATCAGCGTTCGGCTTCATTCTCTAAATGACCATTACGTATGAAAAATATATAGGGACATAAACTTAAATCTCAAATCTAAAAGTTTGTGACGATGGTGAGTTTATTTAAATAGAGATAGGGATTAGCTCTATCGATTGGGCCAAACAGAGTAGGTATACCTGAAGACGGAGATAGAGTCCCATCTCCGAAACGTCGTTTTTACATTTTATATTTACTAGACGATGGATAATATCCAAGAAAGGTCCGGAGATAGGGATTAGCTCTATCTAGTGGGCCCAACTGTGTAGGAACCTGAAGAAGGAGATAGAGTCCCATCTCCGAAACGTCGTTCAATTTCATTATTTTATTATACGATGGATAACATCCAAAAAACCTTTTATTTAAATAAACTGATATGTTATATTGATACACATTACGATCAACTGAATGCATCATATTACATGTTTAGTCCCTTGTTAAGTTACTTGTACCAACTATCATTCAAATAAAGTCCAATATTCGTTTGAATTTTAAAGTGGTAACGGTTCTACAGAAATCAAGTCACGCATAGCGCGTGCACGTGAACGGATATAAAAAAAATACATTAAGGGGTGAAAATTCTCTGACGTACCACAGCAAAAATTCTTCCAGTTGTCATAAACACAGGGCTCAGTGAAGACGCTGACTCCGTACTCCTTCATGGAGTCCGGGTCTTCTTCGTGCAGAACAACGGAGGCAGCGTGGAACTTGGCCAGAGAGCGCATGACCAGCAGACAATGGTCCAAGTCCAGTCCTTGTAACCGGTCCAGCATCCTGAATCCTGCTGGAGACAGGTCCTCCAACACCAAGAAACTCTCACAGGCGTAGATGCACTTCGGCGCCAGTGGTTTGAAATTTCCTGCGAACAGGATCTTCCAAGACTGCAGTAGCGAATCATGTTTAGAAAAACACATTCGTCATCATAGGAATCACTTTTATCTTCAGAACTGTTTTTAACTGAGGTCTCGGGTTCGATTCCCGGCGGTGCTCGAATTTATAACTTGTGTTGGGCAAGGCCGTGGTCTAGGCAACACGGAGTTTTCCTCCGTGGCATCCCAAAAATTACTCCATTCACACACAGAAGAAGGCAATGGCAAACCACTTCTGGATCATCTGCCAAGAACGTATATGAACAGGTCCCAGTCCGAGAAAAGGA